TCCGATCTCCCCAAAACCCCAAAACCCCAAGACTCTAAAAATGATTCCTAAAAAGAGTGTGATTCAATTGATTAAAATATAAATATTCTTATTATAATAAGTGTGATACTGCAAAGCTCATTATTATGTAGCAGATTAGTTTAATTTTAATGAATTCAAACTAGTGAGGACCTGGAGTTAGCGGTAATAGCATTTAATTTTGATCTCTTCTTTTTACTAGCAAGCTTTTACTGTTCTTATTTATAAGAATCATCATCGTTTATTGTATAGCTATGACTATTAGTTTAAATGTCCAATGATAAGTCTAGTTAAACATGCTGGTAGACTTAAGATTGATTTCCTGCTAAAAATTGATTGGGATCTATTGTTGCAATTAGTTATTTTCCAGAAGCATTTGATGAGCGTTTTACATTTTGGCTGTAGTTTAAATTAAGTTCATTTATGAGTTCTAGTTCATCACCTTCAAATTTTTAGAAGTCACCTGAATTCTTTTACATTTCATTATGCTTATTAGAATTTTTATCTTCATGATTATCTTCATCAATGTCTAATTTAATTCCAAAACTAGCATGCAATGAGTCTCGGTTTCGCAATCTGATATTGAAGTTCCTGGGGAGAATATAGAATATGTAAGCTAGTGCAATGGTCATTTATATGAACATTATTGTTGAAATCAGCAAGTACGCTGCTGATTCATCATCTTAGGGAACATTGCAATTTTAAAAGCATTTAAGGTAGACTAAGTTTGGAATTGAATATAGTAGAATCATTTAGATGATTCCGTAAATAGTAAAGACTAAATACGCTATTGAAAGATATTTTAATTGCTAAAAAGTTGAAGTTAACTATAGAAAGCTTACATTTATTCTCATATCTATGAAATTAGAGGCAAAAGTCTCTCGATCGATTTCCTTCTTCATTTTTTCCTCTCTGTTCTTGGTAAATATTCTATAGATCAAGAATACAGCCACAAAATTGATTGTATTTATGACAATAGATGCAATTTTTATCACGTTCCAGTAATAACCTAAAAATTATGTAAGGATAGCATAGTCTTACTGTATTCATTAGGATCATCATTTTCACCCTCGGTGATGCTTCCAATAAGAGCCAATAGTTCCATCAATGCAATTAATGTCGTCACAGTTATTGAATAAGGTAGAAGCACTCTATTACATATTAAATCAAATAGATTCGACTTACATTTTTACAAGGTTTCTCTTTTCTAGTAAATAGAATACTATTCTTGAAAATTTGAAGAAAATGTAAAGTGACATAGTAGAAACCACAGTATAGGAAGTTATTAAAAACATTTGATGACAATACAAGAACTAGTCTATCAATATCAATATATTCTAAAATTCAAAGGTAAATATCAATTGCTATAGTTACGATAAAAGCATTAGTGAAAAGGACGACAGAATCGAATGTTGTAGTTTTGTGGTTCATCCTAGCTTTTACACCCCAGAATAAAAACAAAGCTGACAATATTGGACAAATAAGGACTATTATCCATTGTCTAAATTGTATTAAGTAAGATTTATATATATTCTGAGGTTATTCGCTTACCTCCCAGATTCCATAGGGATGCCATGATTGTCTATTAGAAACGAAGGCTCAATATATTTAGACTCAGTAGAATCACAGAATTCATTTTCATCTAAAGTATGCAGTCCGAAAGCAATATTCATATATGACATTTCTGCTTAAATATTAAAAGATTAATATAAAATACAATAAAATACTAGGAAAAACACTCCTTCTATTATAATATTTACTCTCCTCGGGGTTTTGGGGTTTTGGGGTTTTGGGG